GCGAGTTGAAGCCTCTATCAATAACGACTATCTCCATCAGTGGTACCTTGGATACTCTACAACCGCAGACTCATACCAGCTTTTTTTAAACAGCACCTGTGTAGTAGGTTTCGGAGGAAAGCCGCCGGTGAGCGGCTGGTCTAAAAATGCTCCCGATACGGGGGTGAATTCGATCGAATTGAGTGAGGCTCATTCGCATGTGCCGCTCTATTGGAAGTTTAATAATATGACAAGGATTGCTAGCCCAGATTTCGATAAAATGCCGGAAGAGTTGAGAGGAGGGACCTTTTGGATCTGTGTGATCTTTCCGGCACTATATGATGTATTCTTTCATCCTGCACTTAGCGACCTAGCTGGTTATAGGGCGGATGTTTGTACAGATACTGGGATGAATCATCTTCTTTTTACGTATGATTTAGATTGATTGGAGGTTTATAATTGCGGGCCTTACTGTGCTTAATACAGGAGTTTGGTTTTCCGGCTTATACTCAAGTTAAGGGGGCCGCCGTTCCCCGAGTATTAATATTTTTTGAGGTTATATGTAAATTCTGCGATGTTTCGGATTCTCAAGTTCTCTGTCCAATGATGATTTGTCACATTTTGGTCGCCTATCCCTAATATCCTGGACGCAGAGGCCCGCACTTTCCATACTAATTTCATTTGCTTTCCTAGCTACATCATAAAAATTCTCTTACAAGCTTAATTCCCTTCCAAAGGTTTATCCTAGCTTCAATTCAGGCGCTCGAGGCGGAAGATATCTACATTTATCCATTGAATCATTTAAACCGTTGCGACCCTCTCGAATCCCCTATCCTACCTCCTCTCCCGCTGTGGACCGCCACCAGGAGCGGCCGCCTCCCTCCTCTCCCTGACCTGCTCATCAACTTGTCTCCTCCTCGCTGCAAGCTCAGCTCTTTTAACAGCCCTAAAATCCTCCACTGGAGCTGCAGCCGCAACCCCTTCCCCGGCTACCGCCTTCTTAACCTTACTGCCCGGCGTATCCCTCAAATAAATAACATGATCAGTAACTCTATCCGTATCATCGAAGTACACGTCCGTAGGTGCTGGGCCATCCCACCATCCGGCTGGACCACCTGGCAATGGTGCGCCGGTGCCTGGGTTGCCGAACCAGCGGACTTGCAGGCGTGAATATGGAGCGTTGGGGCCGCTGAGGGTGTAATAAATGTAGGCACCTGAGCCGCTGGCTGCGAGGTTTGAGGTTCCTCCTGGGAGGATTGGTTGCGATGGAAGACCGCCAGTGGCGTTTGCGACGCCGAGAGGATTCCAGGGGTCGTTGATGTAGGTGAGGGTTATGGAGGTGGTGAGATTTTTGACTTGGAAGGGGTAGGGGAAGATTGAAGTCATTTTGAAGGTATATGTAGATATATAGATATATGAAGTAATAAAGCTTGGAGTGCGGTAGTATACTAGTACTATAGCGAGGTTGTGAAGATGTAATTGAGGATTGAAGAGCTTCTTGCTGGTTGCATGGAAGAAATAAGATGGACACTTGGAAGAAATGGCTGGCTTTTTATAATCTAGTGAACTCGACAGAGGGAAGATTGTCGTTAAATTGATCAGTCATATTATGGCCTTAAGCCTTCGTGGACTGTGAATCTTTAGCATGTACCAAGTTAAGACGACATCCGCATAGCTATTCACATCACCGTCGGGAAGTCCAAAACCCACTTCTTCAGCAACCACGTATCACAATACGAGCCTCTGCCACAACCTCACTTGTAACCCCTCACATTGGTCAGATCAATGATCCCCGAGTAAGGAGCCCGGAAATACAGCTTCTGACTTTATGATTCGCGTTCAAAGCCCGTGTCTCCACAGTACTCTCCGTATATTATAAAATGCAACACTATAACATCGTTGTTATGAATTTAGCCTAGTCAACAAAAAAACGCAGTATCGCGGCACAGCTCGGTTGTTCTTGGGAAAATCTTTGGTATTGACGCAGTCGCGCTCCCTGCAATGCATTTGAGTGCAGTGCACACATGTGCACTAAAGAAAGCTAAGCTAGCGACTTGGACTGGGGTCATGATCAGGAGATTTTCCTCAATTTTGGGTATTGGGGCAAAGCAGACACCTAGGCACTGTTGGGCCTTTTTGAACCACTCGGCGGCGTTCGCGATATCCGTCAAGCGCTGGGGTTGTGCCTTGTCGAAGTGTACAGAATATCACACTAACTGCGAGGAAGTGGAGAACGGCGGACTTTTAGTTAGTCATAGAAATCTACTTGATTTAACCTTGTTAGAAGTATGAGAGCCGTGTCTATTATATTGCGATATATTGGGTGTTATCCTACAATCAATCTTGGGGCTACGGTGGATCTACGAGATGCCGTATAGTGATTTTGAGTTTAGTACTTATATCACTCACCACATTTCAATTCAGAAGCCATTTGATTTGATGCTCCTGATATGCATGGGGCCCTTAAGGCGTCAGAATTAAACAAAATTTGTTCTTCATAACCTTAGATCTATAGAGCTTATCTCAATTACATAGCAAACATATTCTAAAGGTTGCATAATAATCTTCCTTTAGAGCTCCCCCACTCCGCGAGCGCTCGAGCTATAGTACGGTATGATATACCTTTTGAAATTTCACGAAAAATGACATCCCATGTCACAATCCCCGTGCATCTTTTACGAGGGATTAAGCTTGTCCAGCCCGCAGAATATGCGCGGCTGCGGCACGGCAAGCTCTTTTCTGCTGATCATTGTGGGTCGCGTCTGCACCTCAGAATCATCTCGGAAATCCGGCAATTACTGCAGCGATTCGAGGGCTTAGAACACTACCAGTCAAACTCGCGCCACGGAATACGAAAGGAAAGAAACTCAAGCTATCCCTTTTGAAGCCAGAGCTTTGTGCTAACACTATTCCGCAGCACTGAAAACTTTGAATCTTTGGGATAAAAGGATTATTATTGCAGTTAATTAATACGAGTTTTTGGCTCGAATGTCTGCAAAACCATATCATACGATTGGATTTTTTTGCTGATTGAGCTATTCCGAACTAGTTTGATGCCATAGCTCCAAAGCTCGTAAATGCGAGGAAGATTTCTTGCTAGCTCCAGGGTTCTATTGTCGTGGTGTAGAGTCGCGAACCCGATATTCGAGTACGAGTCGGCATTAAGTTGTAAAACCAAGCGAAGTTTCGCGAATTCGCGCCTGCAGGCATAGTTTCCCGTGCATGTGCAGCGCTCAAAGACCAGAAAGCAAAACGTCCGAATAGAATTTCTGCACGGTTTTCTGCAGGGCGTATACTCAGATTGTCACTTCTTCGTTTTCGAATTTCTTGGCAGAGAGTCGACTAATTGAATTAAGTTAAGCTAAGCTAATAGCAATTGCAAAGTCGTAGGGGCTTCGCGGGTATTGTCTTCGGTAGTCTTGCTTCCATACATCGCACGGGCGATGTATTGGAGAACTATTCTCAGTTAGCTTAATCAAATATAACCGCTAAGTAGGGCGATTACCTTGTCATGAGCTTTCGGTTCCCGTTATAATAATATCCATTAGCACCGGTGCAAGCTAGCTTCTAGCTTCTCCAGCTCCCGATCGAGCTCAGGTACTCGTCCGACAATACAATCGAAGATTCTAGGATACCTACACGAGGCTCCCCGATTTCTTTAGCTTTCAAAGCTTAGATTCCGCTCATCGTACAGCTTACTTGACGATATAATCAATATCATGCTGTGGATTGCAAATGTCAATTCAAATGCTAGGTACACCCCCCGGCCTCGAGCCCAATAAGGCCTGCCCAATCACACGTGATCTAGCCTCTTTCGGCCGTTGCCGGATTTTGTTACTTTCCAAATCAGGTAATCTTCCGCAACGCAATACATTTCCAACACCAAAATTTCCTAAAAGAGTTGGAATCGGACGAATTCGACCGCGCTTTTGTAGTGATGGGATGTGATCGATTTATCACGCATGGTCATGGAAATTCTCTGTGCTTATAATAGGGGTAATTATTGTAAGCCTCGCAGTTCGGAAAGACGGAACACGGAGCACTTTTGATGGCCGAATCTTATCTTATCATCACAGCAAGTTGTGCACGTATGATTCAATTGATCAACGTTGACGTAGGTATCTTAGTAGCAGGAAATATTCACGGATAATATCGTTTTTCAGGGATGTAGTGATACAAATTGTCTTTACCTTTCGTAGTCCCCTCTGTAGCTCTTTTCTCTGTCGCCCAGAAATTTCTACGATATTTCGTGGCTGCTTTTAGCTAAATTTAGATAGCTTTAATGGACTGGGGAGCTGTAGAGATGGTACTATAGCTTGGGATACCGATCTATAGATCTTAGTATCTAAGTACTCAATCTGGAAAATAAGGCCCCTGAATTTTCACTTTGAACGGCAACACTTTCGTGAGCTCTGGATACGAGACCAATTTAAACCAGAGATATACAAACTGGCGGAACAACCGATACCAATGCAAATCGATTTCAATAATTTTTTTTTTTTTTTTTTTTTTTTTTTTTTTTTTTTTTTGCAAATTGAGAGACAAGCGGCTGGATAGCGAAAACTCGTAACTGCAGTACTAGTAGTATCTTACGACAATACGAAATAGTTACATAAAACGGGGCGAAAGGCTATCGAACATCTATCCTGATGAAGATAGTTAAAATGAGGAAATATGAGCTGTATAATCTTGGCATTATTCATAGTCCCATAGCGTGATATGTATGAGATTCGGAGGATTTGTTCATTTTGTGATATCATTTGGAACAATAACAGCATTAATGCATTTCGGCAGCCTTGCAGCTTTAGACGCTTCTACGGACTGTTTGTAGTAGTTTACTCATTAATTGCAACTACATCTTTTCGGCCGTGTAGTAATGAAAGTTGGAGAGGGGAACCATCTTAGGCATGGCGTCGCGCCGGGATCAGGTTCAACACTACAACTCGAAATTTGAATACACTCCATCAAAATCCAACACATTGCAATTCCTCTACGCCAACATCGGCGGGAGACTGAATACTGGCTTCATGGTCTAGTGGTATGATTCTCGCTGAAAGTACCCCCACTCCATTATATAAAACTTACAGAATGTCAAACTAATACCTTCTACAGTTGGGTCGCAGTGTCTGCAATCTTGCGAGAGGCCCCGCGTTCGAATCGCGGTGGAGCCCGTTTCTTTATAAATTTTTGAATTTTTTTAAATTTTTTTAAAATTTTAAATTCTAGCTACAAGCGCAGGGATCTCGTACTTGATCGATCAATCCTCACGATCCCAACCCTCGGGGAGGTCCTCTATCAAACGCATAGCATCTTCACTGAATTCCGCCAAATATCGCTCTAGGTTGGTCACCCTATCGAGATACAGATAGGCTTTATCCAATAATTTATCTACCACGACTTTAATCATCTGGTCTTTAAAATCCTGGGGGATATACGTTTCCATAGCAGTATCTTCTACTGCGTCCCTGAATTCCCCCCAGGGGGCTGCCCAAGCTGTAACCGATCCATCTATTCCATTTGAGATAGATTTTAATACTCTAACACGGAGGTTAGCTTTGTCGGGGTTGATAGACCAGATACCTGAGGTGCCTGAGGTATTTGGTTCGAATGTGTAGCCTAGCCATATCATCGTACGCGTGACAGGATCCACGATGTCGATGTTTAGCGGTATTATAAGACTTTCGAGTGCTGTCCAGACGACTAGATCCGGACTACCCGGCTCTATTGGCGTCAACTTCCAAAAATCGATCGGGGTGTCTATGGTGAACTTCGGTATCTGTGGTATCACAGATTTTATCTTCTGAAGTGCATCCAACGCCGTTGCATGTTTAGCATGTAAATCCGGATCGGCTTTGTAGTCATCTTCCGTCGCATGGTCTTCAAACTTTATCATAATTTCGATTAGTTTTTGTACTATTACCCCGGTCTCGTTGATTATTTCAAAGATTGACTCTGATCCAAATTCTTGAAGTCCGGAAGGCATCGCTCCTGGGCGTAACGGGGTTTCCCTTAGATATTCTTTTAGATTCCATGACATTTTTTTAAGATTCTGGAGGTCTTTGCCTATGTTTCGACCGGTCGCTTGGATTGTGGATGGATCGGAGGGAGGCTGTCTTAGGCCTGGTTCGATGAATCGTTGGAAGATCTCGTGGGGAATCTTGATGGGTCGAATGGCTTGGCTATTCGATTAAGACATGTTAGATCTTATTTCATAGTTACGGTATATCGATCGATCCCTCAGGTCTCTCCATCTGGTCCCGCGATATTGATACTAAGGCAAGGAGTTCATACACATTGACTAGTATCAGAAGAATAGCTCCTATTTGGGCCCAAAGCCCACGAGGTCCAGCCAGAAGTCGCATGTCTCAACAGAAAATTATTTCTTAGGGTTTTCAGTCCAAAAAGAATAATATTGTCGACATTGAGACGGTCCGTATGCACGTATGCACTACACATAGAAGTAAAACGTGGGGTTGCAAGGTAGGACTAGTCAACATGAGCTTTGCGGAGGCCATTAGAGGTTTTATTCTATATCACCGCTGCCCCCAGCAGACGTATCGCTATCAAGAATTGACTTTTGAGGTATATGAAGGACCTTGTTGGGCATTTCTCCCTCAATTTGTCTACATTCCGCTTATTCTTGTGTTATGTGTAGTTTCTTGCCTCTAAATTTAAATATCAAAATGCAACATTCGAATTCGATATTAATATATATATATTCACTCCACATTGAAACCGTAGACCAGCTCGCGCTCGTACGGGGGTAGGGATATATACTCAGCGGAACCAATCTCCTTATCTTGAATGCCTACCCCTTCTGAAGATTCTGATTTTGTACTGTATATAACATTAATTAGCAAAATATTCAATCCGAGTTTGTGGTGGTTTGATGAAGCTCAAGCTCAAGCTCAAGCTCAAGGTCTACACAAGCCAAGACCACATCCTAGCTCCGGAACTCGGCACATTTTTAATTCCGAGACCAATACCTTCCTCCTGATAGATTAGAAACATAGAAAAGCTTGTTTTGTCCTCACTTATAACCCCCGGCTGTACAAACGTTTACGCCATACTTGCGCAAGCTTACGTTTTAGTTTTTTTTAACTTGAACCGTTCATTTATTATATCCGGAAAAGTTGGGTCGTTTGTAAGCTAGGAGATTGGGCACACATTGGCATGGCCGAGTGAAGGCGGTAGATGGCTTCGGAGATCTTGATAACTTAATTTGGAGAGTTCGGGGGAATGTTATCGCGCGTAAGAGTACGCTTAATTACTTAAGTATGTTGGAAGTTTGTATAAATGGAGCTTAGAACTGTCGGTTCTGTTGTTATATTTTCTTATCGGCACTAGCAGCAGCATTTTATTCTTCAATTGATATATATTAGCCTTGAAATCTATACTTTGAACACCACCACTTTAACATTGATACCCCCAATCTGCCTCTAAAATGTCAGGAACAATGAAATCCCTCGTCGTAAACCCCGACGTTTCAACCACAATCTCGGAAATTGCAATTCCAACACCAGGGCCCCATGAAGTCCTCATCAAAGTCGTGGTTGCGGGTTCCAATCCAAAGGACTGGAAACTTCCACTCTGGTGGAACAAGTCCATAAACACTGGTGACGACTTGTCTGGGTACGTTGAATCAGTTGGGTCTGAGGTTTATGAGTTCAAGAAGGGGGATAGGGTTATTGCGTACCGTCATTGGGAGAACCCATATGGAAGTTATGCGGAATATGCGCTTGCGTTTGATTTTGCGACCGTCAAGTTGCCGGAGAAGGTTAGTTTTGAGGGTATGTAATTCAGTCAAATTCTTGTTTGTAATAGTGGATATAGCTAACAGAATTACAGAGGCTGCAACGATTCCACTCGCGGCACTTACCGCTGTAGTGGCACTTTACCATACCCTCCGCCTCCCACACCCATGGGTTCCAGCTACTAAGCCAATTCCATTGGTGGTCTATGGTGCTGCCACAGCCGTTGGTGCATTTGGTATCAAACTCGCCCAACTCTCGAACATTCACCCCATTATTGGTGTCGTAGGTCGTGGAAAGGATTTTGCCGAAACCCTCATCGACCGGTCCAAAGGCGATGAGCTAGTCGACTATAGAGACGGAAATGAAGCCGTCGTTAAGGGTATCAAGGCCGCACTAGAAAAGAACGGCTTTGAAAGTGTTGATTACGTTTTCGATGCCGTCAGCGAACACGGCAGTGTCCTTGACGCCGCAGCGGTATTGAGTAAAACCGGTCAGATTACTGGAGTTTTAGGGTTGGAACTTGATCCCAAGTCGAAAGATTTGAGTAAAGATGTGAACTGGGTCCGAACCAGTGTTGGATGGGTTTTTCAGAATAAATGGGAAGAAGGCAGTGAAGAGGAAAAGCAAGGAGTTAGTGTGGCGACTACGGGCAGGGAAATTGCTTTTTTGTTTCTAAGGTGGTTTGTGAGAGGATTGGACGAAGGGTGGTTTAAGGGACATCCTTATGAGGTTGTCAAGGGAGGCTTGAATGGAGTCAGCGGTGCACTGAAGGATTTGAAAGAGGGGAAGTCGAGCGCTGTGAAGTTTGTCTATCGGATTGCGGATACTGAGTATTAGTGCAAAAATCCATACCATTGGTGGATATATTATCTCGGTGGATTTATGTATCTAGGGCTGAATAGTTGCTGTGCCTACGTTGAGTTTTCATTGATGATATCGATAGGGAATTTTGATTTATAATGGACTCCAAATTGTCGAATAGTAGCTGGCCCCGATGTTCTCTTACGATATGATAAAAACTATTAGTTACCCGGATCTATAAGGACTTGTGTAATTGATAAATGACCAAGAAGTCTCCGTCCCGCGACAAAAAGTAGTGCAGTTCTAGTTCGTATCAGTATCCTAAGCTAAAAGGTAATGCCATTCTGATATTCCGTACGCGAATAGGCGTTAGCTTGCTGTTCGACCTGAGTGTGATGTATTTAGATATCTTAATAGCAATTACCCTTGTCTAGTACCCCGTACGTCGCCAAATTCTTAATCGTGACGTCCGAGACTCGGTTTTGGCAACAGGCTGCGGATTCAGGTAAACTATAGCCCTACTCGCAAACCCAGGTTTCGGTATTTATATGATACCGGTGATATCACTTTATGTCTGTGTGCGCGCGAGACTGTTCTTGAGCGTTAAGTTTAGATTTTGAATACTTGGCTACTAAATTAGTCGCAGGGCTCAACTGACAATATAAATTTGACGTTATCTTATGGTGGCAGTGTGAATCATCATGCAAAACACCACTTGCCCGGCCAAACATAGCATTATCTGTAGATTTATCTAGACGTTTTACACTCTTTAGTACTTAGTAGCTGCTTGAACTCCCGTAATAACCAATAAATTATACCTAAATGAGGAAAGATCTAATCTAATGTACATATGAGTACGTATAGCCACAGAGAAAGTGTCAAAGTATACACGAATATCAATACGTTCGCCAACCCCTAGATCCATAAATCAGTCAAGTGTTATAAACCAACTCCAAGTAAAACTGTGCAGAGACGTACCGTGGGATATTAAACCATAAGATCTCGCTAAACCGCGCCGCTAATACAAAAGAAAAGCCCTAACTAACAAGCTCAAGCGCTATCATAGGTTTATGAAAACGTATTTATGTATGTATATATTTAAAGTTATATATTATGCAAAACTGACCACTCCGGTACGGCTGCCCATCATCTAACCCCTAGGTCCCTATACCTGTGAGAAGATGAAGCGACGTGACTAAAGATTTACGTTGTGCCTCCATCTTCTCGAGTTTTCTCGTCAGAATGTTCAATTCCTCTCTAAGCCTTGCATTTTCGAGCTCGAGAGCGTCTCTTGAAATTGGCCTAGCACCAACATGCGGTTCGGGTTGGAAATTTGAAGAAGTTGCTTGGGTGATGGCGATATCAATAGAATTACCATTCCCCATTGAGATGAAAGATGCATTGCTTATTGAACTTTCCTCCCCTATTCGAGATGGGAGGAAGGCTGGTGTTCTTGTGACACCAGGTGCGGGCGGGTAAGACATATTTACTTCTGTATTCTGGGATGGTAGGCGAATATTATGTGGCATCGGATGCATGAACGTTTCGGATTGTGAATGGCTGGAATTGAGGCGTGAGCGTCTCACGAACTGTGGTGTAGTAGAAGTAGATATAGA